TAAACTTTCCATTTTGCTTTTAAAAATAGAAACAAAGTAAGTATGGTACAAAGCATGATGGGATTAGGATCTGTGAAGACAATGGAAGTCTTGCCAAGGAACTGGCTCTGAAGCAGGACCCTAACATGGTGGGGGAAGGACACTGCTACAATAGCAGAGCTAGCTTCATTCATTTTACTACTTTAGAATCCTTATCCCATTAAAATCAAGCTGTTGAGTCACTTATAAACCAGTGTAATCCCACTGATTTTAATGATTAAATATCACTCTTGGGATGCTTTGTTTTGGTTCACGATAGCAGACTGAATCCATATAAAATTTGGCAGCAAAATGTTAGCTGATTGCTCGTTTAAAAAATTTTCATAACTAATTAGATTTTCTTTCAGGTACTAATTTGAAAAAAAAATCTCAAAATTATGTTCTTAATTTGGTTGCTTAAACATATAGAACAAGTTCACCTCAAAACGAAAAATTCACAGAAGAATTTTTATACACTGCACTATAGCCAGGTATTTGGGCATAAGAACATAACAGAGAGATTTTCATATTTCAGTAAACAAAAGAGCCCTAGCTATTTGATAAACCACTGCTCATTTACATGGGAAAGTCAGACCATGTTGTTTATACTGTAATGTATTTGAAATTGAAGTTTAAACCAATGTGCTTTGCTAAGTTCGTGATGCTTTAATTGTATAACATGAGTTACAGGATGTTCTCAAGAACTCTATGAGAAAAACAAACTATATGTTCCTTTGTAGGGAGTTCCTGGGTGTTTCTGCAAGACAATATTTCAAAATGTTAATTGTGTTGAACCAGTTTTGAAATTTAGGTTACAGATTTTCAGAAGGAAAGAAAAAGGCATTCAGAGGAAGAGGAAACTACTGGCACTATATTGCAGCCTCACCTCTTCAAACGTAAATATGTAGTTATTTTTTGGTTTACTCCCATTGAACAACTGCTGGTAAAGTGGGGGGAGGGGGGAATCAAGATGTTCTTTGTTAGTATGTTAAATGCTAATAGAAAGGTCAACTAAGATTAATTTATGGTGCATTAAAGGAAACCCATAAATTCTATACACAGCTGTCTTTGTTGTGTACCTTGGTTTTAGAAGGTAGTTCTGGTATCAGTCTGAATAGCATGCACCACCCGAAACAAACTGTCAATGATAAAATCTAGTCTGTGTAACTGTTAATAGTAAAGATACACAGAGAGGAGTATGCACAATACTCGATGTACAAATTCTGCAAAGAATTAAGAAACACAATATATGTTCAAAACATTGTGAAACAGCCATTGAAGGCGTACTTGAAAACATCTCTGCTCATCTTCATTCGATTGCTAGCTAAATCATCTTTAAATTAAAAAAAAATGCAAAACAATATTCTAAAATACAGTTTTAAAAAAATCCGTTGGTTTGCAAAGAGGGTGTCCAAGAGATCAGTTTTAACTTTCTGGGATCAAGAGAGCTTTGGTGAACACAATATTATTTACAAAGGGGGTTCAAGAATTTACACTTCAAGTCTCAGAAAGAATAATAAAAATCTTGGTTACTGAATATATTGAGATTCTTGCCTAATTCAGTTCCTTTTTTCAAGAGCAGTTTGCTATACACTGTTATTTCATTGGGCACACAAGTTTCAACTAGGTGTGAAAAACTGGAAATTCATAGCCAACAAATGGTTTAAATTTGCATGGTATGGCTGGGTACTAAAGGTAGGTGATACCAGTATGGGGAATGAAAATCAACACTTCACAAAATGGGCCACAAATAATACCATTACAAATTCATTACTTTATATTATTTTTCTCTCCTTAACGAAGGACTCGTGTTTATGAAGTCATATAAAAGAGTCAGTTGCCCAACCCCTTTGTAGCCAAGAGACTACTAACAACTTCTAATGAATTTAAAATCAGCAAATAATGGTGCAATAAATGGAAAAACCTGAAAATATTTCATCATATTAATTAATATTCATCAAATGAAATGTGAAGTTTAGGCCTGGAAAGGCCCCTGTGAGAACACTGAGTCCAGCTGAATCTGTGAATGTTTGATGAAGGAATTCCTTTACACATCATCTAAAACTTAATGCATCTACCCATTATGCTGAAGTGCATGTCAATTATTAAACTCAGGGGTTTTGTCACTGCGGGCCACTGCTTGGGACCCAGCCCCTTGTGCAGGCCCTGTCAATCATTGGATGTTGCAAAGGGAATCAATAGGAAAGTGCAGATGCTAGGACCCTGGGGATGCCTCCCCTACTGCAGCAGAGATACTAAGGTTGTTTACACAAATGACATTTTTCACAGGAAGGGGACCCTGAAAGTGCTGTACAGCTGTGACTTAACACATGTGCATGACAGCAGAGCACTTTTAAAATGGCCAATCACATGAAAAGTTAACCCTGGACACATGAAGTATTAGAGTAAGGAATTCTAAAGCAGAGCGCCTTAGGGAACAGCTTAGGTCAGGCAGCCCACAGTCTGCCTAGATTATGTTGGGGGATGAAGAATAAAACAGAATTGAGATTGAGGGATTCTTCAAGCCATTATTAGCTCACTCCTCTCATCACTGACAGTTTTCTGTTACTTCATCCATATACTTAAACATAACTGGCTCAAACATCATCTTACTGATACCATTTAATATTAATAGTTGAAACAGATAGAAACTGAAGATTCTTTTCCTGAGTCATAGTGCTCATTTTTTTTGCCTGTTTCATATTTTATATGTATTTCACCTTGGACTGAGCATTTTCACTTCATTCATTTTATATTCGATTTGACTTTGACTTTCCTATGAAAGTTTCTTGCTGCAGTCCGTAGGTAGCAGAAACTTTCTGGGGGGGCAAATATTGACAAAGTATTTCTAGTGAAATTAAAGCAAAACATTTAAAGAAACTTATCTCTTGGCTTCAGACACCTGCAAGCATCTCTCCAAACAAATTAGAGAAAAGGGTGAAACACAGTAAGCCTTTCCACAAATAGAAATTAAAGTCCTGACCCTGAAAACGAGAACATACTACATGGTTTTATTTATGACTCACTAAAATCAATGGGGAAATTTGCAGGAGTAAATCTATGTAGTATATGAGCATTTGCAAGATCAGTCTGATGTTAAACATCCTAATCATATACAGATTCAGGTTTCACAGCTCAGTGCTCTCTCCCTCGTGTCCTATCCAATAATCTTTGGAAAAATTCTCATTTGGAAATATACAAGGAAAAAAATAATAAAAAACAAATAAGTACTATTTATTTGCTTTGGATATGAAAATTCCAAAATCAAAATTCTCAGCAGGATGAGAGAGTTCCTCTTTAAATGAAATTTACAAGAGCTAAAAAATTTTTTTTTAAATATTTTCAAAAATAATGACTTAAATGATCTTTTTCTAGCACTTTGTAACCATCTTTTTTTAAACAAATGGAGTGCACTTCAGAATCATGTTTAGATGTAGTTACCACAAGCTATTATTTAAATACAGTAGTGCCAATTACCTGGAGTAATTAGTCTTACCCTCCTTTTGGATAACCACTTTTTTCCAAATAATTAAACACCATGATATAAAATCCTGAAAACTGTATACTGTACTTTACTGTACAACAAATGTATGGTAAGAAGTGTGTGACTGAGATAACTGGCAGCTCATGTATGAGTCAGAGAGTGAGAGGGAACATTATAGGGTGGGGTGAACTACTGCACTGCCGGGCATGGGACTTCCATTACACTGGCAGACACAATATTTCCTGCTGTTAATACAAAACCTCCTGGTTAACTGACATTCTGGAAAACTGATTTCCAGATAATCAACGCTCTACTGCAGGGGTAGGCAACCTCCGGCATGTGTGCCAGAATGTGGCACTCATGCCAGAATATGGCATGCAAAGGCATTTTGCTTGGCACAAGCATCTCAGGGAAGGGGCTGGGGCTGTACTGCCACAAGGATTGGGCCCCTTGCAACTCCTCTGCCGTCCATCCCTGGCATGCCAAAATCTTTTAAGTTGAGGTTGTAGGTGTGTTTGACACTGCCCAAAAACATTGCTGACCCCTGCTCAACTGGAACATGCAAAACCACCATGGTGTAAAACTGAAATCTGAAATGTCCTTTTTCCCCATTGAAGGCAGGGAGATTTCTATTGACAAGAGGACATTTTTAATTAAACCAGGATCAAGACTTTTCTTCACTGTTATTGTGTGGCACCTTTGGCTAAACTTACAGTGCCCACATACAGTCTTTAATGTTTCTACTGGAAGAATCACTTCTCTCCTGGTTAAAAAACCTATGAGTGTACAATTTCTCCTGTGGGAAGCATGTCCCCTTAGGGAGAAAGGCCTTCCAGGTGTCAGTCTGAAAGATCTCACTTGCGAGACAAACCCTCTTGCAAAAATGAACACTTACACACTCCCCTCTCAGTCTGGTTTGCGAGGGGAGTGGAGCAGTTGGAAAATGCTCCCCTTGTTTTCCCAGACCAAGAATTGCTTGGTCAGGTAAAGGGGTGGGAGACATTGCCCTGTTGCTCTACTCCCTAGACTGGTCTGGGAGGGGACTGAAGCAGCTGCTGAAGCTCCCCATCTCTTCCCCAGGCAAGAACTGCCTGATCTTGGAAATGGATAAGGGGCTTTGCCCCACTTCCTTCCATCCCATAGACTGGTCCAAGAGAAGAAAAGCTCCCTGTCCACTCCCTACAACTGGGTATCCCCAGCTTGCAGAATGGGCTGAAGTCTTTTCCCACTGCTCTACTCCCTCCCTGGGAACCACTGTTTCCCATGCCTTCCCCAGACTGGGATCACCTGGTTTCAGGAAGGCCTGAAGAGCAGGGGAGAAGAGGCTGTTGCAGGCTGGATGTCTGCACTACATCCTCGCCTAGAAAGATTTCTAGTCAAAATATCTGTAAGAAATTTCCACCACTAAAAACAAACGTCTGTTTGATGCCAGTATATTTTTCTTATTTCTAACAACGATCCCAGGCTATAAGGACTTAACTTAAAAGATTTTTTGTACCTTTGGTTGAAGATTTGGATGAAGCAGCACATAACCATTAGGGTCAATTGCAAAATAATATCCATTTGGGCAGAGCTGAAAGAAAGAAAAAATGTTGCCTGGTGTTATAAGGCTGTTTAATGGAAAATGAACCGCCTTCTAATAATGCTCAGAATCTGGAAAATATACAGTCAACAGCAAAGCTACACTTGCTGGGGTATAAATCATTGAGAAATTTAAAGGAAGATTCTTAAAAAAAAAACCTTTACTTTTTATTTCTGTGGCTTGGGTTTCCAACAGCAACAAACATTTTCTTGGAAATTAACTAGTTAAATGCTTTGCCACACACATAGGATAAAAAAAATGCTCACATGCAAACTCAGATTTGCAGTGAAGAAAATCTTGCTGAAGAAAAGTGCTATATAGGAGCTACGCATGTTGATGATTTATTATGGTGGCATGCCATGTGTACAGTAATAAGAATATAACATAGCTTTTAGATTAATAGGAGGATTGTGGGCTTCAGGCTGAGTAATAATCTATGGCTGTCTGGTTTCATGGCTGCTGGAATACAGCCATAATGTGCAAGTGAGCTACAGGATACTGATGGGCAGTTCACAGGTCAGCACTGATACAGACTATAGAGGAAGAAAACTCTAAAACTGACAGA